CAAAACCATCTCATTTTCCACCCTTCCTGAGGATTTAAGTCTGGACTTTTGTGTGTGGGTAGTGGGCAGTGCAGTGCCAGTGGTGAGTGAGTGAGGAGGAGCAGTTTGTCAGGATTTGTAGGAAGAAAAGCACTGCAGGCCATTGTATATGTACAATGAAAACATGTGAAATTGAAAGTGACTAAAATTATTGAAATTACAATTACAATAGTTTAGCAAGCACCCACAGGTCGTGTATCTCTGTACATATAAATTAGAGGGCCAAAATCCACATAGGTGGGACTGCTGTAGTCGTTGTACTGCGTTTCTGGATTCCATGACTTGGAGTTTTCTTTTTTGAGTTTTTATGTCATTTATACTGTCACTTGACCAGTTAAATATTGGGATATGAAAGAACTGACAGTCTGTTCCATGAATGTGGTGGCATTTCCAGGAACCAGTGTGTTTTTGATTCAGCGACATGGATTTGAGTCTAAATCCACCCATGTGAGGACTGGGATGAAAACACTTGTTGCTATGGAAGATTGTGGCCCAAATGGGTCACTGGACAGCTACACCAACCCTGGCATGGTTCCCTAGCTGTTAATATTTCTGCTTGTGGGTGCTATGTTGGCATTTCAAAAGTTGTTGGTCACTATAAGTAATCCAGATGACTAACAGTTATACATTTGTTTTTGCTGGTGATAGATAGCTGACACATAGAAGACACTGTAGTACTTCATGAAGCTGTTTTTCTCCACTGAAGGTCATGATGCCTTAAGACCAGAAATTGATTCACCTTGATGACCAGCCAGTCTATCTGGTCTTGGTCTTAAACCATAGTTATAGTTGTCCAAATTGTTTTTATTGTTAACATTATTGTTGTTTTGATTTCTGAAATTATATTCTGGAATGATACTCCATGCTCAAATTCTGTAAATATCTCCGTTCATCTAATTTGGCTATTTGATGCACAAGTCACAAACCAAGACCTTTGAAAATTGAGTTGTTCTGTAGTTGAAGTTATGTTGACCAGTTTCCCATGATACTGATCAACCAATAGACTGGCAATTTTGTTAAGCATTTGGGAGCAAATCTTGATTGGAAAAGCACATTTTCTAAATTAAACGTGAATTCAAAATTATTTCCAGTCCATAACATTTTACTAGGAAAATACACTAAGAAGTAAAATGTGCTTCTGTCTCTGGGGTTGGTGTTGTTCATGGTAATCATCCAGTATTGTGACAGCCCATACTTCCCTAGGGAACACAGCTGGTAGCCTTCCACTGCATTGCCCAATGTATATCAGAGCCAATATTCAGGACCGTCAATGTGAGGTTATTGGTGGCCTTGTGATGCTGTCCTGCATTATGATCTCGTTGACATGGATATTAAACATTTTCCTTTGAGGCCTTTGGGACAGAATCTCCAGTGGTAGTTGGTGAGTATTTGCTAGTCTCTGGGTGCTCTGCCTATGGAACTGGTTAAAGTCAAACTATCTCCAGGGAGTGCTGCATCCAAAGTAGGCACTGACATTTCCTTCTGCCCCTCTAAGACTAGAAATCTGTCAAAAAAGGTGGTCATTGTAGGGGTAGGACCTGGATTCATGTGAACATGGTAAAGTCTGTTTCTCATCCATTGGGAATCTCAGTGGCAATATCATGAGGCATTAGCCTCCTTATAGGCACCCTGGCTACTGTCACCTACCGCTGTGCCCCCTCTCCCCACAGACACTGTAGTAGATCCCAAAGTTTAGTTGTTGGGAACTACTAATGATTCACCCTCTGAGGAAGGTGAAGATCCAGCATTGTCAATATTTACCTTCTTTTCATAAGATGTTTTAAAAACCTCATGATCAGGTCATTTAGTTTGTCCTTTATAATTGGGGGTGACATTGCCTTCTTCAAACAGTCAAGGGTTCCAATTCACACTTTTAAAGCATAGAATATAGCCTTCCAAGGATTACCTCTGAAAGAAGCATCATTCTGGAGCTTCTCTTGGAACTCTGTGTCTGGATGGTTGAATTTGAAGTAGGGGTTATCCCCTGTCTCAAGCTACTCATTAAAAACCTTATTAGGTTCAAGAGTGGCCATGTCTGTCTGATTGACAGGCTGTCCTTTATCTAGAAGGGCCCAGATATTTGTAACTCGAGAACACCAAGCCTCAACAGTCTTGAAGCTATTGATTGGCTTTTGGTTTGGAAGAATAGGCCTCAAGAACAAATCACTCTTTGAATTGACAAGCAAGTTTATCTTACAAAAAGTCTGGAATAAAGTCAATGGCAGAGATGTTTAGGTTTACGTAGTTTTGTTGATGTGACAAGAATGATTCACTGGTCAGTGTTTAACTCCGGTATTTCCCCCACATGATATCACCATTCGCATGGACTTTGTATTTCTCATGAACTTTGAGTTCTTCTTCCTGCAAATCCCTACACTATAACACCTAGGGCCTTTCCTATCAAGTGGTGAAGAGCATATAATTTGACATAGTATTTCTGATCAGGTACCTTTTCATCATATTTAATTTGATGAGAATCATCTTTGTCTGATTTCTCATCATTGCATAAATTTCTGATGGAAAATATTCATAATAATTTACTTTACTTTGAGTGAAGCACATTGGTCAACATATTCATAGGTTCACAAGATTCACAGATTTACATGGATTTTTCATGAACCCTAATCCCAAGTGTTTTGAACATTTAATACACACCTCCCAGAGATAGTGAGTCTGGTTCTGACAAACTCATGGGCTGGAGAGATTTTTACAAACCTTATATCCTCTTTGTCTTTGAAGGGGAAAGTCTTTTACATGACTCTGCCCTTTCAACAAAGAATTCATCAGTCACTTCAGTCTTCTGATCAGAAACCCAACACAAAAAGTCTTCTTTCTGCTTAGTTATCTTTCCAAAGTCTGGCTCCAAACAACACATTGACTAATATCTACACAGCCAGTCCTGGTGTAGCTGCTGGTGTTCAGAGGTCCTCCAGTTTCCATCAGCCACTGCACACCTAGTATATTGTGTGCACTGAGCTACTAAGAAGACCGTTTCTATCATAAGGTGTGAGAAGGCAAAGGGGTATGACCCAGAAAGGTAAGAACGTTGAAGAATTAAAAATACATGCAACCCAAAAGAGAAAACAAAAGTCATGTACATACATCATTTATGTACAAAGAGCCCCATCTCAGTTGCTTTTACATTTTTAATTATACAACTATGAAGAATAAATGGTGAATTTTTCAAGGAGACAGGATTTGCTTATAGCCCTAAATTATTGAATAATATGTATCTTATTTTTCTTATCGGCCAAAACAATATGATTTCCAAAACATTTACTTCATTTGACTTCTCTTTACCTGAACTTCTATAATTAACTACAATAGAGGCTAAGCAAATGAGATAAAGGAAAGTGATGGGGGACAGATACAGGACCTTAGCATTTGAAAGAGTGGCAGGTCTGGCATCAAAGTCGTGGGATTCTGCAAAGTGCACCACCTAGAATAAGGTAGCAGCAGTGTTATCTTCCAATAGAGTTTACTAAAAGCTACATAATGAGCAATGGCAAATACAATGCTTTCATTCAAAACCCTAAGCCCATTGCAACTGTTCTTTGGAAAAGATAGGTGTATAAAACCTAACCCTTCCCTTCTGAGAGTTAACAGACTAATCAAACTTCTAAGTGCATCTTCACATGTCTTCAAATATTGGGAGGAAAACAACTCCCTGTTCAGCTCGTTAGTGGAATGAACAATATCCCATGATGATTTCAGGAATGATAGTGGTAATATAAATGCTGGCCATTTAATTATCAATATTTTCACCACAGTACGAATTAGAGAAATGTCTTTCATGTTTTTATGTGATCTTTTAAAATAAGGGCAGATTACTATCTTGGACAGCTACATATGTCATTTACAGTATGTCTCACCAAAATGTGAAGATGGTTAATGTACTGACCTTGAATGTCTTTATGTCTTCTAGAATTAAAAATTCTTATATTTTCAAAAACACGTTCTTAAATTTCAAAAAACATCAGAAAGATGTGGAGCCCAAAACAAAACAGTTCAGTCTTCCAGAGTAGAAGTAGTTTGAGATGGAGCATATAACTGGGATTCTGCTAACCTAGTCATTCCTGACTCTTACTAAGAAGTCATGTGATCTATACAAACCCCTTAGCCCCTTGGTCATCCTTGCCTAGAGGAGGTTGGAATTAGAACAATAACTTCTCTTTGGCTCATTCCCACTTCCAGATTATGTAACCTCCTGGATCTTATATGATACAGTGCAGAAAAAATAGGGCTTAGAGACAAAAACTCTGGGATCCAGTTCCAGCTTTGCCACTAATTCATTCCATGACAATAAATGTCATCAGACATTTACTTCTACAAGTATGAACCCACTAACTCATATTAACATATTCCTAATGTCCCTTAAACTTCTGGAATTTTATTTTGATTATAAATACTTAAAGGCATATTTCAGAGCATATTATACATTATTGAGAGTCAATAGGGGGAGCTCTCACATTGCTTTCTTTATGTATCTGACAAATAATAGAATTTACGTCACTTTATTTGCAATGATTGGGGAGGATTATTTCATTACAATCAGGTATTTATAAACCAGAGGCATCTGATTACCCACCTGAGCGTTAGGCAGGCCGTGGGCTCAGCTGTGTGCTTTGACGTTAGGGGTTTTCATTATCCATCAAAGGATAGGCTAGTCTGCTTAAGCCATTTCAGAGTTTGTTTTGTTTTCTGTTTATTTTCCGAACTTGAGCTTCAGATGAAGTTAAAGTCTATATTTGATTTGTATTCCAACCTATAAGAGTTAAAAGCAGCAGGAAAGGTTTATGGAGATTAAAAAGCAAGAAACTATTTCATGAGGTCTACGCTTCTGAGGGTTGAACTTGCTACACAACTACAACCTGACATGTGCACTTAAATTATTATTATTCAATTATATATTTCAGGGGGCTGGCATCTTCGTTCTTTATTTTTCCCCCTTTGTGTGTTATATGTAATTTACTGCCCTACTTCATGGACTGTAAAAGCAGTTCATCAGAGTCTTTAGGAAATTGGCTTTCTCTAATTTAACAGATTTCTTTAATATTAATTAACAATGGGATCTGGGTTGGTAA